GCACACCTGATCCTGATTGTAATGGTCAGACAGGGTTGAACCCACTCGGACTTGAAATTGTCTGTCTTTTAAAACTGTGATATAAAAGAGGTAAACGACCCTTAAACCAAAATCATGTAAATCCTTTAAAATGCCATGCTTCCAGGTGGTATCGTACGCTTTCTCGAGATCAAAGAATAGCGATACTGCATGTTGTTTATTGACTATTGCATTTTTGACAAAGGATTCTAATCGTACCAAATGATCAATGGTACTACGATTTTTCCTGAAACCACATTGAATATTTGTTATGAGATTATTGGTTTCAAGATACCATGTTAATCGATTATTTACTATTCGTTCCATGGTTTTACAGACACAACTCGTTAAAGAAATTGGTCTGTAATTAGACGGATCAGTATGATCCCGGCCAGGCTTTGGTATAGGGACTACAATGGCATTACGCCACGAAGGTGGGAAATTTCCTGAAGTCCATATTGTGTCAAAAATATTTAGAAGAGTTTCCAAACATGATTCCGGTAAATGCTTCAAAGAGCTGATAGGTGTATATTATCAGCTCCTGTTGCTGTGTCATGAGCTTGCTCAAGGGCAGTGTGGAGCTCATGTAATGAAAATAATTCATTATAGTCTTCGCCATTGTCCGAGTTAAAATTTATTCTTTTCTTCTCCTGTTGTTTCTGATATTGTTGAAATTCAGGGACATAATTTGACGAAGAAGAGTGTTTGGCGAGTGTTTCACCAAGCTTATTGGCAATGTCAGACTTACCAGTTAACAAATTATCACCATCCTTTAAATGGTGAACGGTAGATTTGGAACCTTTGCCCTTTATTCTTTGTATCATGTTCCACACCTTTGAAATCGGTGTGCGTGAATTTATTTTGGAAACATAGTTTCGCCAAGACTGGCGCTTATTTTGTTTAAAAGCGCGTCGCGCCTTGGCATTTAATATTTTAACTTTATCTAAATTATGGACAGTAGGATGTCGGCGAAAATATTTTTCTGCTTTCTTCCTACACTTTCTGGCCTGTTTACATTCGTTATTGAACCATGGTTTACGAATATGTGGAACTGCAGAGGACTGAGGAATTGTTCTGTCAGCAATGCCATTAAGGATATCAGAAAACGACTGAATAGGATCTTCACTGTTCCGAAAAAGATCATGCTTCAAGTGTTCAACACACAGAGTCTTATATAATGACCAATCAGCCCTGGCGAAGTTCCTTCTTGATACAGATGGATCAGCACCAGGGCTGATGTTTTTGAGAATGGTGGGGAAGTGATCACTCCCACATAGGTCATCAGAGACCATCCATTCAAATTCATTATATAAGTTGGAATCAGCTAGAGATAAATCCAGGGAAGAATATGTTCCCGTAGCTGGATGTAAATAAGTGGCAGAGTCGTCATTGAAAATGCATAAATTATTATCGGAAATGAATTCCTCAAGGATTTTGCCTTTATTGTTAGTATGGACACTTCCCCAAAGCGGGTTGTGTCCGTTCAGATCGCCATGATAACACATGGCTTTGGAAGCTGATCATAGAGATTTTGAAGATCCGATTGTCGAATATTTGATGAAGGAGGAATATACAAGCTGCACAGGGTCAATGCAATGCGCAGGGTTAAACGAACAGCAACTGTCTGAAGATTTGTATTAAGTGGGACAGGGCTATGTATGACACCCTGCCGCACCAAAATTGAAGCACCTCCTGTTGCTCTATCTCCTGGAGGAGAGAATGAGTGATAATCACTGTACTGTCGTAAATCAAAATTATCTGTGTTTTTTAGATATGTCTCTTGGAGACATAATGCTGACGGGCGAAAATCTTGAATTAGTAACTGTATTTCGTTAAAGTTATTTTTAAGTCCTCTGCAGTTCCACTGAATTATATTGGCCAACTGAGTCATGGTGGCTCAATTGGGGATCGTTCACGGGTATGTGAGGAGGAGCTATCCCTCCGCCTGTCCTGTGAGGACAGAGCAACCTCCATGTCTAGAGGTTCAAACGGGTTTTGAAGAGGAACCTCGGAAGGTGAAGAGACAATAGGTGGTTGTTTTCTGTTTAACTTTTTTTCCTTTTTTCTTTTTGATTTGGTCAGTAGCTGGTTGAAAAGTAGATGGCTGTGAATCAGACGTCTTGGATGTCGCAGGCTGAATTCCAGTCTGAGACCCAGAAGTAGACTGAGTGACTGGTGAAGTAGGTGGGTTTGTTGAATAGACAGGTCTGTCTGACGTGACCCACGTCAAGTCAGTCTGACAAGCAGTAGAGGATGTTGCTACAGTGCGGGAGACTGCAGCAGAATAAGAGATATTCAATGGAGTTGAATTCTGACTTGTAAACAGTTTTTTTGGCTTCAAGGTAGGAAAGGTTTTTTTCGCATTTGATTTTCATTATTTTTGATTCCCTTTGATAAACAGGGCACGACCTGGATGAAGCAGCATGTGGGCCTTCACAGTTTGCACATTTATAATCATTCACGCAATCTGTACTCTCATGATTGTCACCACAGCGGTGACACACCACAGAGTTTCGACATGAGTGAGACCCATGACCGAAATGCTGACACTTGTAACACCGGAGTGGATTGGGGACATACACATCCACCCCGATGTTAACATAACCTGCTTTTATTGACTGTGGAAGGGAAGATCGCGAAAAAAGTCAAGAGATAGGTGTTAGTTTGAGTGATAGTACCCTCTTTCTTGAAGGTGAAACGTTTCACCGCTGTAACTCCTTGTTCCTCAAGTTCTAGAGCTATCTCCTCCTCTGACATATCACAGAGACAACGAGCTCGGTCTCGTATGATACCGCGGCAAGAGTTCAACGTTCTGTGCACAGACACAGCAACCTCGATATTGGCAAAGGTCGTGATAGACAGCAGATTGAGAGATTGCTGTCTCCGTGCACACTCCACCAGAAGCGAGCCACTACGGAGACGGGTAACGTTCTTTACCTCTCCACAGATTCCAGAGATAGCTTTCGAAATAGCGAAGGGATTAAGTTTGATCGGTAGAAAGTCCTTAGATTCGATCACAAGAAATCGAGCCCAGGAATCCAAGTTTACAGAAACAGTTTCAGCTGGACGATCTATTTCAACCAGACGCCTCTTTTTTTCATAACGAGATGAACCAGTTTGTGGGGATGCCATAATGAGAACGAAAGAATTCAGCATCCCTGCTCCCCACCCACCAAAAAGTCTAGTAAATACAATATCGAAGCAATGCATCAGATTACTTACAAATAATTACAGTATCACAAAACAGGCTTTGACAGCCATTGCTTGATTCAGAATTAGTAATGGAATTATTTTCTGACAAAATATTTTCATGACTCGCACACGTATCTATTAATACAAGGAGCAATTTTCCTATTTCTCAAAGTCAATGTAGTACAAATAGTACACAATTCTAGTACCCTTGTAACTGATTTAAATAAGGAAACACGTGAACATATGTTGTGGTAGTATTCTGCTTTCAGTAAACAAATTAAAAAGATATATACAATATATCATGATGCAGTAAAGGAAGGCCATACAGGGCCAAGTAACAAAGCCCAAAGCAAACTTAACATATAATCTATATACAAGGCTTCAGGGAAAGAACATCCTACATTCACTGTCATAGAATATTCAGTGTTAAACATAACAAAACAAACACAGCTGTGATAAAAATTGGCCTTGCCAAAAAGAGTATCTAAGATGAAGGAAATAATGCAATGACACGGTAAACATTGAAATGACAAGATGAATTGTTTTCACAGTTCCCTAGTAGCGATTGTAAATTATCTAGACCAGTCAACCCAGTGATTGACATCATGAGCACTGTTCTACGCTGGTTGGATACAATGACCAGCATTACCCAAGTCAGCGAGTCTGACCACCCGATTTCATTATTCGCCTCTCCAGCCTCTGGTGTTTACATTTCACAACCTTTGAGGTACAATCCAGCGTGTTCCTTTTTATCAGGATTTCAAAGAGTGACATACCACTCTTGCTCAGAAGTTGTTTGATCAAGGATATAACATTCAAGGCCTCAGTTTTATGGTAGACATGTGAAGGACATTTCCAAATTTGATGCATCATTGACAAAAATTATGTCCGATGCAATTCTCTATTTTAACTAATACTATGCGTTCCCGAATTATTTGAGGTCAACAACTGACTAGACTTAGCATAAGTTTATGACGGGTGCCTCTGGCAGGATACGCTCCCCTTTAAGCGAACACCTGGCATCATTCCCATTTCATAGTGATTCATAAACACATGCTCTGTTATCGTATCACATAGTGACAGTCACTGGATTGGCTGGTTCAGACTCGATTTGTTTACAAACATCATCATACAGCTGTAATGCTGCTGAAACAAATACATGTATATGCTCATGATGTGGTCATTTTTGTACAATCGACTCTGCTTTCAGCAGAGATATCTTATGAAATGGAAAGGGTTTGTCGCTTCTATTTACGACATGCATGCATTGCTGAGCACCAATACTAACTCGGATGTTCACGGGTTATATGCATTTAAACCCCTCCAGATACACATATACATACAGATCAATACACTGCTATGAATACTGTAAAATATAAGCTGCCATAGCAGTGGGTAAACACAGTAAACAGACAACAAACAGAACCTCCACTCCCACAGCCAGTATTTTGGCGTCCGCTAGTACAGACATCCCTTTATCATTGCCCCCTCCGTGCCATTGTAAAATGTCGCACACAGATAATGAAGACACATACCCACACAGACATCTTTGTCGATACCTCACGTTTACGTCAGTCCAGTGTTCAGAGGCTATTTGCTGCTGAATATACATGTACATTTTCTTTTCCATTTTTTGACATCACTGATGTCAGTCATCCTGATTTCGTATTCAAGTGTTTATAAAGTCAATGGTGATGGTGTTGCTTTATTGGGTGAGTGTCGCTTTTAGCAATATTCCAGTAATATCACGGTGGCGGACTCTTGAAATGGGCTTCACACATTGTGCCCATGTGGGGAATCGAACCCGGGTCTTCAGTATGACGAACGAACGCTTTAACCATTTTCATCCCCACCGCCCCAATTTGTTTAAAAAACCCGTTGTTAAGCAAGTACATGTATCTTCAAGTGTCGAATAACTTAGTGGCTGTTGTCAACATACCTCTGAACCTTCTCTAGGAGTAATCCGATGGCTGACGATATCCCTTGTTCACTAGGAAATCCCAAACCTTACTCGTCTGTGCTGCATACATCACTGGTGTTTTCCCATTGCTGTCTCTGTTATATATGTCAGCTATCCCACGCGAGAGAATATACTCAACAATACCTACATTATCACCCAAACATGCAGCATGTAGAATGTTTCTACCCAGAGCATCCACCACCGACAGGTTGCATCCTTTGCTCACCAGCAGATCAACAACTTTCTTATTGCCCTTCTGTGCTGCATACATCACTGGTGTTGCCCCCTTCTTGTCTTTGCTCTCTATGTCATATCCGGTAAGATCCTCAATAATATCATTGTCACTCAAACATAAGAATGTTTCTACCTAGATCATCCACCACCGACAGGTTGCATCCTTTGCTCACCAGCAGATCAACAACTTTCTTATTGCCCTGCTCTGCTGCATACATCACTGGTGTTGCCCCATTCTTGTCTTTGCTCTCTATGTCAACTATCCCATGCCGGAGAAGATCCTCAACAATATCTACATTGTCACTCAAACATGCAGCATGTAGAATGTTTCTACCTAGATCATCCACCACCGACAAGTTGCATCCTTTGCTCACCAGCAGATCAACAACTTTCTTATGGCCCTGCTCTGCTGCATACATCACTGGTGTTGCCCCATTCTTGTCTTTGCTCTCTATGTCAACTATCCCACGCCCGAGAAGATCCTCAACAACATCTACATTGTCACTCAAACATGCAGCGTGTAGAATGTTTCTACCTAGATCATCCACTACCGACAAGTTGCATCCTTTGCTCACCAGCAGATCAACAACTTTCTTATTGCCCTGCTCTGCTGCATACATCACCGGTGTAGCACCATCCTCTCCTCTGCTTTCTATGTCAGCTATCCCACGTGAGAGAAGATCCTCAACAAGGTCTACATTGTCACTCAAACATGCAGCATGTAGAATGTTTCTACCTAGATCATCCACTACCGACAAGTTGCATCCTTTGCTCACCAGCAGATCAACAACTTTCTTATTGCCCTGCTCTGCTGCATACATCACTGGTGTTCTCCCAGTCTTGTCTTTGCTTTCTATGTCAGCTATCCCACGCGAGAGAAGATACTCAACAACGTCTACATTGTCACTCAAACATGCAGCATGTAGAATGTTTCTACCTAGATCATCCACTACCGACAAGTTGCATCCTTTGCTCACCAGCAGATCAACAACTTTCTTATTGCCCTTCTGCTGCATACATCACTGGTGTTGCCCCATTCTTGTCTTTGCTCTCTATGTCAACTATCCCATGCCGGAGAAGATCCTCAACAATATCTACATTGTCACTCAAACATGCAGCATGTAGAATGTTTCTACCTAGATCATCCACTACCGACAAGTTGCATCCTTTGCTCACCAGCAGATCAACAACTTTCTTATTGCCCTTCTGCTGCATACATCACTGGTGTTGCCCCATTCTTGTCTTTGCTCTCTATGTCAACTATCCCATGCCGGAGAAGATCCTCAACAATATCTACATTGTCACTCAAACATGCAGCATGTAGAATGTTTCTACCTAGATCATCCACTACCGACAAGTTGCATCCTTTGCTCACCAGCAGATCAACAACTTTCTTATTGCCCTTCTCTGCTGCATACATCACTGGTGTTGCCCCATTCTTGTCTTTGCTCTCTATACCAGCTATCCCACGCGAGAGAAGATCCTCAACAATGTCTGCATTGTCACTCATACATGCAGCGTGTAGAATATTTTTACTTCGATCATCCACAACCGACAAGATGCACCCTTTGTTCATCAGCAGATCAACAACTCTTTTATTGCCCTTCTCTGCTGCATACATCACCGATGTACCTCCATCCTTACCTCTGCTTTCTATATCAGCTATCCCTAGCAAGAATAGATCCTCAACAATATGTACATTGTCACTGAAACATGCAGCATGTAGAATGTTTCTACCTCGATCATCCACAACCGACAATTTGCATCCTTTGTTCATCAGCAGATCAACAACTCTTTTATTGCCCTGCTCTGCTGCATACATCACCGATGTACCTCCATCCTTACCTCGGCTTTCTATATCAGCTATCCCTAGCAAGAATAGATCCTCAACAATATGAACATTGTCACTCAAACATGCAACATGTAGAATGTTTCTACCTCGATCATCCACTACCGACAATTTGCATCCTTTGTTCACCAACAGATCAACAACTCTTTTATTGCCCTTCTCTGCTGCATACATCACCGGTGTAGCTCCATCCTCACCTCTGCTTTCTATATCAGCTATCCCATGCGAGATAAGATCCTTAACAAGGTCTACATTGTCACTCAAACATGCAACATGTAGAATGTTTCTACCTCGATCATCCACAACCGACAATTTGCATCCTTTGTTCACCAACAGATCAACAACTCTTTTGTTGCCCTTCTCTGCTGCATACATCACCGGTGTAGCTCCATCCTCACCTCTGCTTTCTATATCAGTTATCCCATGCGAGATAAGATCCTTAACAAGGTCTACATTGTCACTCAAACATGCAACATGTAGAATGTTTCTACTTAGATCATCCACTACCGACAAGTTGCATCCTTTGCTCACCAGCAGATCAAAAACTTTCTTACTGCCCTTCTCTGCTGCACATATAACCGGTGTTCTCCCCGTCTTGTCTGTGCTATCTATGTTACTTATCCCATGAGAGAGAAGATACTCAGCAATATCTACATTGTCGCTCAAACATGCCACATGTAAGATATTCTTACCGTCATCTAATTTATTGGAGAGGTCACATTCCTCCTTGACCAAAAGGGTAAATAATTCCACATTTCCCTTGAAAGCAGCAATTAACACGGGCGTCCATCCAGCCTTTGCTTTGGTATTAATGTCGACGGAACTGCTTGACAGGAGTTCTTTCACTATCAATACTTTTTCGTCCAAACAAGCCTGCAGGAGCATGGAATTACGGTCATATGAGATGAGCTTCATGCTGCCATCCTGAACTTCCCATCTGAAGGTTATTTGAGGCAGCTGACCTTCAATACAAACAAAGTATAAAGTGTTTCATTATTTTTACATTATGATAACGGCTTCTTCTTATCAAACATGAGGAGACCAGTGGTACACTAAAACAACATAGTAATAGATGTGATAGGATATATAATAGAAACACGAGGAGCCTTCATGGATGACTGCGGCTTTACCTTGTCAGCTTCAGTAATGGTGATGGTGTGTGTCTTTCTGTAGTTTATTCTTGCAGTAGTTTTTTCAAGCTCTATCATGTTGTTATAGCGTACCACTGGCTGCTTTTATGACGTCATCACACAAGTGTGTGCCATTTTTGTGACCTAATCGATTTTGACAGTGAATTGTGAGCCCATAAACCCCTTCCCCCTTTTGGATGAGTTCCCTTCCGAGGGGCATCAGATGACCTGTGTTATGTGACCTCATTTTGGGTATAAAAATCACAGTGTTTTTCACATAACTTCACTTGCACTATTTCTGTCAAGATGGACTCCTCGGATTTGAACACCCTTCCACATAATCACTGTGGAACCTGTGGCCAATCCTGAACCAGTACAGTAGAGCTTACATAATGGTTTGTCATTTTCGTCACATATATATATCAATAACTAGATACACGTATTCTGTGTATTTTCCATGAATTTTCATAATTTAACAGCATGCATTGTATTCTTTGTAGGAAAATCAAGACACTAAAATAGACTTCAACTGAGCTTTACTGTTGACCTTACCAAGATGTGGGCCCATGCTTTAGAACAATGTGTACAAGCACTCCTGCTCAGTGGAGAACAAGAAGCAGCCAGACTCCTGGGACGGAGGGATGGTAATGATAAGACAGAGTTGCAGAATTCTCGCTGTCATCTGGATCTTGGTGAACATATGTTTGTGACAACCAGGGTATGGGAAGATGCAGTAAACATTCACATCAGGGAGTATGACGTGTACTCGAGTGGCAAGTCCTATCCTGACAAACAAGGCATTATGCTAACTGTAGAGCACTGGCTGGAACTTTCCCGTGTGTTCAATCAGCTGAAGGAGGCCATTAGTCACCCAGGTTCACATGCACATGTTGGAGGGAAAATGTCTGCTACATTGGACTGCAATGGTGTGGAACTCAGACAGTGGAAAATGAATCTACAGATGGGAAAGGTCGTACCTACTGCAAAGGGTATCTTGTTGTCCCTTGACCAGTGGAAGAAACTGAGAGACTGTGTTCAGGTAATACCTGACTTTATACCTGAGCTGAAAAAGATGGTTCCTTGTATGCTTCAGGACGATCATCAGAATCAGATGGGGTACCACATGTGTTCCTTCTGTAATGCTAGTGACTACAGTCACTGGGTGTAAACCCATTCTTGCTTTAGACACTCTACTGTGCGGGTGTGTAGCCACTGCTCTCACTTCTGGGATATCATGGATGTGTGTGGACATTATCCACACGACAAGACTGTCGTTGCCGATTGCTGTGCAATCAAGACTGAATGGACATAAAATCACACATCAAATGTGCCAAATCACTGAACTCTTTCAAGTCCCTTCTAAAAAACCTATTACTTCTGCAGAGCCTTCTCTTAGATCTTTTCTTCCCTTTTAACTACAACTATTTGTATTCTCGTGTCAACATCGTACATAGACTTACTCCTTTTGTAGCGCCTTGAGCGAGCATTGAATGCACGTATATAGGCGCAGTTACAAATACCCACTATTATTATTATTATTATTATTATTATTATTATTATTATTATGTTTTACAGATTAAAGATAGTATGCAGCAGAGAGGGTTCGGGTGATCCTGGCACAGTCAGGCTGGTAAGGCTCATCATCAGCTCAGGGCCCTTGCCCCCTCTACACGCAGCCCAGACAGCGAATGGGACTTCTCCCAGGAAACGCTGCCTAGTCGAACCCACCAAGAACTTTCCGGAGAATATGAAGGCTCCCCAACACTGCAGCCTTCTGCATTACCCAGAGTGTCAGAAGGGCTGTACTCCCCGGTGGAGAACCCAGGCACTCTCCTGATCTGCGCCAAGAGATCAGGAGGTACCAAACCAAGGGCACCGAGAACAATGGGGAGCCTGACGACAGTGTACTTGGGATGCAAGCGAGACATTTCGAAGGCGAGGTCCGCATATTTATCATGCTTTTCCTTAATCTTGCCAATCACATTGGTGTCAAAAGGGACAGAAAATTCAATGATATAAATAAATTCATTGGCTTTATCAAAAAGCACAAGATCAGGTTTGTTGGCTGGAATTCTTCTGAGGCTGTATATGGGCCTATTCCACAGAAGTTTGAAAGCTTCATTTTCCATGACGCCCTGGACATGTTCAGGGTCGTTCCATGGATGGACCTCGGAGTCAAAGCCACAGGCATGTCGGAGACGGTAGTAAAAGCAGCGAGCCATGCCATCATGTCGTTTAAGATATGCTGTTTGTGCCAAGGAAGGGCATCCACTGACAAGGTGTTGGACAGTCTCTGTGAATTCATTGCAAAGTCGACATTTCATGTTAATATTCTCTTTAAGAATCACATTTAGGCGATTACGAGTGGGAAGTGACTGGTCCTGAGCAGCAAAAAGGAAGCCCTCAGTTTCACATTTAAGACCAGCCGACTTCATCCAGGCGAAGGAGTCGGAGGGATTGCTATTCTGTTGCGCACACTGCATGTACACACGATGCGATGGCTTCTCAGAAAGCTTCTCCACAAAAGACCGACTCTGGGCAGACTTGGTGAAGGACTTCACCTGGTTTACTCCCATCGCTGTACCGTCCAGCAGTACATCGCCATCAGCAAAGTCAACCTCAAATTTCAGATTCTGTCCAACAACCTTGGCACGCTTAAAATAGCTGTGGAATTCCTCGCTTTCATCATGAGTCTTGACATGCATCACTAGAGGATCATCCGATAAATAAATATGTGCAAAAGTACACAATAAAATTCTGTCATGAAGAGCCTCCACATTAATCAAACCCCGACCTCCAGAATTGATTGGCATATATAAACGGTTAAGAGAGGAACGAGGGTGGTGGGCTCTGTTATCAGACATGATCCTTTTGGTCAGGCGGTCAAGACTCTGGATGTCTTGTTTCGTCCAATCAACTACTCCAAAGGAATAGGAGAGGACTGGCACAGCAAAAGTATTGGTGGCTTTGACCTTGTTTCGAGCATTTAGCTCTGAGGTCCAGATTTTCTTTAAACAAGATTTGTACTCGGGCCGAAGTTTGTCTTGAATCTGGTCATTCTGGAGCTTATCTCGAACTTGCATTCCAAGATAGGTGTAGGCCTGATCTTCCACAAGATGCTCAATAACTCCGCCCCCCTTGTAACTTGACCGATCCATCATTAGTTACCTTGCCACGTTTCAAATGAAGAGTATTACATTTGTCGAGTCCAAATGTCATGCCAATATCATTCGAAAAGGACTCGACAAGGAGAACCTGCTCTTTCAAATTGGTATCTCCTTTGGCAAGGAGCTCGATATCACCCATGTAAAGGAGATGAGTAAGAGGTGTTGGGGATCTGTGCTGAGGAGGTCCGGGATGGTAACCCTCCTCTTTATTGAGCAGAAAGCTCAAAGGATTTAAAGACAGACAAAAAAGCAAAGGACTAAAGGAATCCCCCTGAAATATTCCCCTTCTGATTGGAATAGATTCCGAAGTCTGCACCTGCCCAGCGAGTACATCTGAAGTTGAGTCGACCAGCAACTCATTAAAGACTTGAGTAAAATCAAGTAGTCGCTGAGGGAGGTCAATGCAATGAAGAGACTTCAGAATCCATTCGTGAGGGACAGAGTCATATGCTTTTTTGTAGTCAGGTTGCGGTGATATGTTTTAGCCTCTTCCAAAATCATTTTCTGTACAAGAAGTTGATCCTTGCACCCCCAACATCCCTTTCTTGCTCCCTTCTGCTCTCTGTAAATGATATCATTGGAAGAGCAGTAAGATGACACGAGGTTTGTCAAACACCGTGTGAATATTTTGTATTGTGTCTTCAAACATGTGATAGGGCGGAAGTTTTTGGGATCAGTCAAGTCTCCTTTCTTGTATTATTATTATTATTATTATTATTATTAAGTATACATTAAAAGTATAGTGTCAGAATATTTTAAAAAATGAAATCAGATGTGTGTGGAACTGCTCATCAAAACGTAATTTATATATACTCTCCCAAAAAGGAAACGCATATAGGAATTTCAACTGTATTTTTATGTTTATTTTGAAACATCTTGTAGGCTTTATGAGTCAATGAAATATAGCGAAATTGCACACTGGGAATGCAGACTTATCCGTCTTTGGCACCAAGTCGAGGAAAGTCAGTTTGAGTGTCACATGGAGACGTGTGGTGGCGCTGAAGTCAATACCTAGTGTGACCACCGTGGGCATCCAGAACTGCACGTCATCGCCTCGGCATCGAACGAATAAGTGTCAGAATTTTGTGTTGCCCAATCACAGACCACTCTGCCTGTAGTGCCTGTGCGAGTTGCTGAAGTGTCTGGGGCTGAGGGTTACGGCATCGCACCCGTCTGTCGAGGGCATCCCACAGATGTTCCATCGGGTTTCCGTCCGGTGATCTTAAGGGTCAGGGGAGCACATTGATGTTGTGGTTCTGGAGGAAGTCTCTAGTGTGACGTGGTGTGTGGGGCCTGGCATTGTCTTGTTGAAACAACTCCCTCTGGCGATCAATAATTTGAAGGAGGTGTGGGCGTAGGATTTCGTCACAGTACCGTTGAGCTGTCAGGTAGCCTTGGATCATCATCAAATCACTTCTCCTATGGCAGAAGATCGCTCCCCACATCATAACACTGACCCGGCCGAAACTGTCCACCTGGGGAAAGCAAGCGTCGGCGAAACGTTCACATCGACGTCTGTACACTCGCCTTCTTCCAGTAGAAATCGTGATTCATCGCTGAACCAGATTCTATGCCAATTCGGTAGGTTCCAGGCCTGAACGTTGGTCCACCATTGAAC